GGGTCAGGGAGGGGTAGGATGATTGGAGCCAGAAGGGTGTGGCTGGAGTTGGGGCTGAGCGGCCACTGACCGGTGGGGGTCAGGGACGATGTCGACTGGCCCTGAACTATAAAAGGTCAAAGTGAGGCGACCAGAAGTCATGGGCAGAGGGAAGGGAGGAAGGCAACTGGGAGGCTGGCCTGTTGCCTGCCAGAACAGAAAGTCTGTCTCCTCCCAGGAGAGGGAGAAGGTTTGAGAAGGTGCCATCTTCCTGTTTGGGGATGTCATCCACAGTGGTGGTAAAAATCTCCCGCAGGCACTCAAGGCCTGCTCTTCCACATGGCTGACCCATGCCCAGAAGTAGTCAAGGTGAGTGCGCTTCAGCCCAAGCTTGGGGTGGACCCAGTTGGTGGGCTGGAGGGCTCAGTCCTGTGAGTGGAGATCAGCTGTCTTAGAGAGGCCACCTGGGCGACAGAGAGGGCTGGGCCTGGACTTGCAGGTCAACTCGGCAGCCGGAGAAAAGGAGAGGACCTCATCCTCATCCCTACCTCAGGGGCTCCACTTCTATCCACCCAATACCCCAAGCCCTTGGGGAAGCCTCTGCTGGCCTCAGACCTCTAGCATACCACCTAAACCAACCACAGAAACCTGGCTTTTAGGGTCCCTCTACCTCCACTTTCCTCTCCCCAGCCAGTGGAGTGACCATATCCTGCCTGAGGCACCTGCTGGTACCCTCCCTGCCCAGAGCCACACCCACCAGAGGGTATCATATGCAATGCCCCGGGGGTGGCCTGGAACACCTTGCCACATCAGGATGGCTTCCGGTTTTGTAGGCCTTGTCTTTGTCAGGTACCCCCACCTCCACCCACTCACCTCTTTCAGGGCCCCTGCTTATCCTTAGACAGTCTAGCCTCTACCTCCAACCCGCGGGCCAAGTTTGGACTCTGCTGGCCCTGAGAGCCAGTTCTCCCAGGCCACTGGATAAAACCTCCTCCTTAACCAAAATGTGGCTCAGGACCATTTCCACTGTGGAAAGTCAGGTCCCTCCCCAAATTTAGAATTATGTCCTCACCTCTCTGAGGTTGGTACCCTGAGCTGGTTCCTCAGAAGGAGGCCTGGGCCACCTTTCTGGAAGCTCTAAGTGAGGGCTCTTAGAGCGGGGCAGTCTAGGCTTAGGGAATGGTCCCACGGAGTCTGCATGGCGGGACTCTGGGTGTGTGTGTGTGTGCTCTCCATTCACAGAAGGCCAAGTTCACCTTCCTGCGATGCGCCATCCTACTGAAGTGGGAGCTTTGGAAGGAGCTGTTCAGTAGGCTGGCGTGGGGCCAAGGACTGGGTGCTGAGAATGACATTTTCATCTACATGGTAAGGCTCGTGAGCACCCTCCCACAGGAGGTCTGGGGGCTAGGGGGAGATGATGATTGTGCAGGGGTACAGTCACCCCAGCCTTTGCTTAGGGGGACCATAGGGATAGAATCCATCTTGAGGGTGTTTAAGTGCTGTGCCCCTTTGGGGGAGCATTCTCCCTCCAGGATGGAGCTCAGGTCCTCTGAAATAGGCTACCCAGAAGGAGTGTGCCCAAGGCCACACTGCTGTTCCAGTGCGGAAGATCTGAGGAGCAGCCCAGACATTCCTGGGCCCAGGAGTAGGTAGGGGACCAGCAGAAAATGCCACCTGCCTAGTAGCCAGTTTAATCTCTGACCCCGGCTTCTTCTGACTTATTGGATCTAGTCTGTCAGGTGCAGTCTCACCTTGAACAGAGCCAAACTTACATGGGCAGGACAGGCCTGTCCTCAGTCCTCAGGCCTCAATGGATCCTGGTGTGGCCACCAATAACCATGAGCTGGGGACATTGCCTGACTGTTGTTGGTGGGTCTCATGATCCCTGCCGTCCCTTCTTCCTTCAGTGTGGTGGGAGGGGAAACACCAGGAGCCATCTCAGGATGCTGCCATGTCAGCGAGGCTTGGCACTTCTGGCAGGCTGCATGTGGCTGCTGTGCAGTTCAAGGTTGGGGTGTCTAGGCACGAGAGCAGTCTGGGAGGGTTCTGTAGGAGGCACAGGCTGGGCTGGTTACAGGCCGCTTGCTTGGTCAGGGCCTTCCCCATTAGTTAACTAGGATGCTTGTGTTTTGCTTAGAAGTGTGTGTAGATTCCTCTGCACTCAGAATGGATCCTTGGCCACTTTCAGCAGCTCAGTTGTCTGCTCTGTTCTGGTGCCTCTGGCTGAGACTCCTCCCTGAGCACGTGCTATGCAGTCGGGCTGACAGTGATGCTATGGGGACAGGCCTGGACCCGTGGCTGCAGAAATGTCAGGGTGGGCTGGGCCTTTGGGTGAGCTGGGGTGCTGAGCTCCTGGCCTGTGGGGGCTGGGCACTGCTTACCCACTGTGTGCTGCGGTGCCACGGGTGATCTTGGTGACATGGTTAATGGTGGCAAGAGAAGTATGGCCCTTGGGAGACCCAGGGCTGCCGCCCCAGCTGTTTCACCACAATTCAGGTGCCTTTGGGGCCCACAGAGGAGGGAAAGTTCAAAGAGTAAAGTACAGCTAGGAAGAGCGGGAACTGGCCAAGTGGACATGACAGGACCTCGAAGGTACCGTGGCAGGAGCCCCACATCGTGTCTGTAACAGGTGAGAGCCACACCCAAGGTAAGTTTCCGGGAAACGCTCTAGGGCCACTTTGCCCCTGCAACAGCAGAGAAACAGACTAACTACAGAAACTGCCGGCATTGAGCCCGCCTCCCCAATTTCAGGACACGGGACCTTGTGACAGACCCTGGCAGCTTGGAGCTGGGACCCTGGGACATGTGTCTTCGGTTTGTGGTGAAATGCCAGCCAGGAGGGGATGACCAGAGGGTCTTCAGGGTGGTGCTGGGAAGAGCCACAAATGTAGGTGCTTCCAGCTCCTTGGTACAGGCTTCCCTCAGTGTTGAACTGAATGAAAGAACTGGGCCAGCGACACCTCCTACCCCCCACTTCCAGGCTCTGGGCACTGGAATTGGGGTTCAGTGCTTAGGGGTGCCACATGCCAGCCACATTCCAGAGGCCAGGTGTCATGCAGGCTTCCCAGTATGGTCACAGGCTCTCTCTTCCCTTCGTAGCTAGAAAGCAACTTTGGCAATTACCAACAGTTTCTCAGGCAGGCTTTGACCTACCTAGACAGCCCCCAGAAGCCCCTGAAGCTGGTAGCCATGAAGTCCATTGGTAGGTGCCAACCCAGCAGCCCCCACAGTAAATGGACAGGCTCGCATGCCCTGGTCTGCTGCAGGGACAGTGGCTTTGGGTCAACGGGTAGGTGGGATGCTTCTGCTGTCCAGGGCTCTCAACAGACAAGGGTTGCCCCTGGCAACCACCTCCTTGACTGCCTCAGGGGGATTGCTTCAGGATTATTTCAATGACCTCTGATTCTACCTGAAGAAGGATGACGTGATAATCCTTAAGAACTGTGAGCCAGTGGAGCCCCTGCATCCTTGGGCAGTTGAAGCCCATCCTCCCTAACACTTGGGGTCGGGGGCTCTGGTGGGGAGGTGCCTCTCCTTAAGGGGGCTTACCTTCTCCAGACTATGGGTTAGGGATAGGTGGGGCCCCCTGTGTGAGCTCCATAGCCGGCCTCCTGGAGGGACATGTGGTCTCTGCTGCAGGCTTGGAGATCCTCAGCCAGGACCTGGACTCCATGGCCCACAGGTTCTACCTGAGCTCCTGGGATGACGTCATAGAACTATCTAACTACGTGACTGCCTGAGCCTGTCCTTGTCCTTATTTTTGTCTTTGTTCTATCTTTATTAAATGACAGAGAGTATACTCCAGCCTCTCAGAATCTGCCTGCCCCAGGTCCCAGCCGCACATATACAACAGACCTGCCCAGCTTTCCCCTTCACCCCAACTCCAGAGGCCATAAGGTGGAAGGTCCATGACTCAGAACTCCCGAAGCTGACAGGTGTTCTGTTAGGCAGGGGCATCCAGGAACTTTAGGACAGGTACTGCCACATGCACGTGGCATCTAGGACCTCAGGGGTCATCCTCAGCCCCCCTTCCCCAGCCCTCATGTGTCCTCAGCATGTCCCAGGCCATCCCACGTGTTCATCTGGCCTAGGCCGCCCATCTAACTGCTTCCTATCCATTTTTGATCCTGCTCTCTGGGTCCTGTGTGAGGCCAGAGTATGGGCCAGGCCTTCTGTGCTCGGCTCAATTACTGACCGTCTCACCTGTGCCCACTGGACCCTTCACTCTTGCCCAGAACTTCTGATCAGCTGACACCCCGACCTCGGTGGGAACCCAGCCTTCTGGGGACCACACCCTCCCAGCCTGGCTGCTTCTCCTCTGTTGTGTGGGTCCCCTGTTCAGTAAAGTCACCCTTCACCAAGCCTATCCAGGTCCTCCAGCCATGCCCAGGGCCCTTGCCTCCCACAGTGCCATCAGGACACCATGAAGGATTTCTGAGGGCCTCAGCTAGGTTCAGAGCCATCATGCACTATTGGAAAATCAGATGAGATATAGCCAGCGGCTTGGAGATGGCTCCCAGGGAACATTCAGGTTCACCAAGCAGCTGATCAGGGTAGATGATGGGTCACATCAGATACCTAGGAATCACTAGATACCCCCACCTGGCAGTCATGTCTCCAGGAAGGAGGTAGAAGGAGAGAGTGTCTGAGTTCAGGGGAGGTACCAAGAGTGAAGATGGATCAGGAGCAGGAAGTGCTGGGCCTACACCAGCTGAGGAGACCCAGGGCCAAACCCTCTGAGCCCTGGCTTCAAAGGAGGCCCATCCAGGTGGTGGCCCTTCCCAGCAAATGAAGCCTGAGGCCCGAGATCCATTCCTCACAGTGGCTGTCCTTCAGAGGCCAGACAGCCCCTGCTCCCTGTAAGTGCTGGGGGCTTGGAGTCGGGGCAAAGGCAGCAGGTGTAGGCCTGGTGTGCGGTGGGCTCTGGAGGTTGGTGTGGTAGGGCTGCCTCGGGGAGAAAGGGCCAAGGAAACGTCTTGAGGAATTTCAGTGTGGATGCAGAGGCTGTCCCCACAGAAGACACTCAGGTCAAGCAGCGAAGAGGAAGCGGGAAAGGGCGGTGGGAGGTGGTGTGGGCCGTGGGAGTCAAGAGTAAGAACAGAAGGCTGGCCCACCTCTGGGTGGATGCCCCGAGAAGCTGGACTGAGGAAGGAGAATGGCCATGTCTGTCCAGAACACTAGGAAAGGACAAGTAGGGCCAACAGTCAGCGGAGTGGGACCTCAGCCTCTCTATCGTGTGGAATAGACGCTCCAAAAGTCACCACGACCAGACTCAGCAAGATGCCTCCATCTTGGGTGCTTTACAACAACTGCGTTTTTAACACGTTGAAAACTTCTGAAGGCTTAAAAAGAGCTGTAGAGCCCAAATCAGTGAGAGGTACAAGAATAGTGAGGGGGCCGTGGGGAATCCAGGGCCATCGGTGCTGGTGTGAATACAGCAGAGAGGCCCTGGCTCCCACAAGGAGGGGTACTGAACCCAGGCTAACTAGGCCAGGACTCCAAAGGGCCCCCAGGACAGCAGCACCCACCCTTTCCAAGAAGAAGCAGGATTGACCTGCAGCACGGTGCCCCCACCATAAGCCTGTAAGCCCGTGAGAGAAGTTTAGAGACAGACAGCTGGTCAGAGCCTCACAGAGGGAGCTGAGAGAGAAGTCTCAGCAGGTTAGGGCTCCCGGAAACTTCGGAGAGCACAATGAACAGGACAATGGTCAAAATACATGTCAAACGTTGGAGATAGGATACATACAAGTCTCCATGACTAAACTGCATGTGAGACAGGGCCAAAGAGAGAAGTGGAAAGATAAAATTCTGAGAAAGCCTCCAACACAGATGAAAGAGGTGAATCCACGGCTACAGGAAGAGGCATATGCACGGAGCAATGTAAAACAACGTGAAAAACTCAAAAGAAAAACATCTTAAAAATGGCCAGAAAGAGGGGCTGGAGAGAGGACTCAGCGGTTCAGAGCACTGGCTGCTCTTGCCGAGGACCTGGGTTTGATTCCCAGCACCCACATGGCGGCTGACAACTCCAGCGCCAGGGGATCCTATGTCTTCTGACTCCATGGGCACTGCACGGCACAGGTGACCAGAAAAAGACACCACTCCTCATGGCAATAAACAGCAGCTGACTTTTGAGCAGTGGTGATGCAGCTGAGAGTAACACTGCATAATTGTCACTGGACATGGGCCACGGCCAGTCTATACACAGGCAGGCCCTAGGAAACACAGCTACAGAGCACGCCAAGCAGGAACCGAGAAGTTGGGCATTATGACCACAACTGTGACTCCAGGACTTGGGAGGATGAGGCAAGAGGAAGTTAGCCTGGGCTACACAGCAAGAGCTTGCCTCAAGGTAAAATGGGCTAGGTAAATGGCTCATGGTAGAACACTGGCGTATGATGTGTGGGTTCCATGCCAACACACACACACACACACACACACACACACACACACACGCACACGCACAGAGAATCTTACCACATTTAAGACATAAAATGTGATAGTAAATTTAAGTAGTACCAGAAAATAAAAATAGTGTTTCAGCTTAAAAACAGATTCGTGTTCACAAACAGGAATCTGATACGTGATGAAGACATTAAAAAAAGAAAGAAAGAACCAGAGGCTGGAGAGGCGGCTCAGCAGTTAAGAGCACCGACTGCTCTTGCAGAGGACCTGGGTTCAATTCCCAGCACCCACATGGCGGCTATCAACCATCTGTAACTCCAGTTCCAGGGGATCCGGTACCTCCTTCTAACCTCCTTGGGTACTGCATGGCACAGGTGCACTCACATACATGCAGGCAATACACTCATGCACATAAAAATAATAAAATATTTTTTAAAAGAATGAAATCCACATCAACCCAGAACTAAACTCCTGGGCAGTAGCAGCACAACTGGATTTGTGTTTAGTGGGAGATGCGGAGGATAAAGCGAGGAGATCTACCACTGCTAAGACACTGAGATGCTTCCTCTTCACTCCCACCTGACTTGCACCACAGGAGCTCACCTTTGAGTGTCTGTGAGGATGTATCTAGGAAGGTTTAACTGAGGAAGGAAGACCCACCCTGACTGTGGATGGCACCCTCCCATGGGTTGGGGTCCCAGACCAAATAAAAAGGAGAGAGCTGAGCACCAGCGTTCACCTCCTTCTTCCTGACTGCAGACACAGAGTGGCCAGCTGCTTCACCCTCTTGCCACCAGGGCGTCCCCACCATGATGGGCTGTAACCCTCACACTGTGAGGCATAGGAAACCCTTAACTTGTTTTTGCCAGGTGTTCTGTCCCAGCAAGGAAAAGGATAATGAATATGTACGAACAAGCCAGGACAAGACAGCAGCTCCAGCAGATATGTGGGTCAACAATACAAGTGAGCAGTTCCCAGAAGAGGACCAGCAAGCGCAGGGGAAGAACTCAGGAATGGCTGGGGAAATGCGCCCAACACAAAGCTATACCTCGCCCCATGCTTCTCTGGCAAGTCAATGAACTGATGCCTGGTGTGGGGGAGACAGCACGCATGCACACCCGGCTGCATTCTGAAAGTAATGCACTGTAGGGCACAGACAACGTGGCCTACAACCTGATGCCACGTGACCTGAAGAAGGCCGGTGGTCTGGTCCTGTGTTCTCGTGCCCCCCTGGGTGGTGAGAGTGGGTCCTGCAGTCACATGGGTGAGGCGGTGTTGTTTTTCTACAGATGGCTAGAGAGAGCACAGACATGCACACACGAAGCACTGTGAGGCAGTGGGCACTGTGAGGGGGACTGGGTCTGACAGAGTGAAGTGTCTCTCCTGCTGGCTGTAGCTGGACTTCCCACTGGCTATGTGGGGAGCCCCTGGGGAGCTCAGGAGCTGAGATGGGTGGTGAGCTGTGCAACTTCAAGGTGCTCCAGACTGATGGCAGGTCTCATTTTTCCCCCTGGTATTTCCTGGCCAGGACTCAAAGACAATCTGAAAATCTAGACACAGTCCTCAGGCATGGGCAGAAGGGGCTTCAGGAGAAGCCACCTGTTTCTGGTCTAGGAGGCAGAGACAGCTCCTGTAGGAGTGCTTGGCCTTCTGCCGTCTATGTGTTTCTGTCTCTGCTGCTCCGTTTTTGGGTAATCATGACCCAGTGGTGAAGACATGAACCTCCGAGGCAGGAGGAGGAGGCAGCAGGGCCAGGGTGAGGGAGCCTTGCTTTTCTGTGTGTTCTTTGCTGTTTGGGTGCCTGACCAGGACACAAAGCCAGTCACAGGAGGTGCCCGATGGAACCAGGAAACTAAGGGTCCAGTTTCTTAGCTGGAGAGCCAGTTTTGCAATCCAAAATTACATGATCTAAAAGAACTTGGAAAACCCTCAACAACTTTAAGGCTTTCAGCAACCACTGCAGCCATGCTCTAAGTAACGCAGCAAAGAGAAAGCAAAGACATCTCAACAGAGAAGAAGACAGAGAAACAGAGGACAGAGACACGGGGCAGAGAGAACTGGATCTCAAGTCAGCATGGTGTCGATGGAAGAGGCCGATGAACTGAGCAGACCAGAGCCCAGGGTTGCCGCTCACCTGCTGTCAGCTGAGCTTGGACAAGGGAGCAAAGAGACTTGGTTCAGTACAGATGGTCTCATCTTCTTCCTCACACAAAAGCTATCAAATTGACCGTGTGGGAGCACTTCTCACACCTGTAATTCCAGCTCTCCGGTGACTGAGCCAGGAGGAATACAGGAGCAGGGGGCTCCTGTTGCTGGAAGGAAGGCAGATGGAACA